GGCTCACGGGTCCCGGCCAAGACCGGTGCCCTGAGGGAGGAAGGACATCTTCTTCTCATTCACACAAAGGCCGTGGCTCTGGCCCCAACCACACAAGAATCTGCCCCCTCCGGGCCTCTCTGGGCTGTTAGAGCTCAGGACCCCACGGCCACCAGCCCTCCCCACTGGAAGTCCCTGGCCCATGTGGGGTTCCCCCCCCACCCCTCTATTGCTCTGGGTAGCTTAGCTCTTCCCTCCCAAGCCCTTCTGTCACTTATTACCTGGACCTCACTGTCACAGTTCACCCCACTTGTCCCCCACATGCTTGTTTGGCACCTGCTTGGGCCAGGCCCGGGGCTCGGGGCTGGAGATGCACGGGGGATAAGGTCAAGCTCATGGTCAGTGGGCATGGGCCACCTACATGCCCATGGTCACACACAGTGAGCAGGGCCATGGTAGGAGCGTCCCTGGGAGCTGCTGGAGCCCAGTGGGGGATGGTCAGTCAGGGAGAACTTCCTGGAGGAAGTAACACTAAGGGAAGGTGCACAACTGTACCTCCAACCACTGTCCATGGTCCAGAGACTGGGCTTGAGTCCCCAGCCAGACAACCAAGATCATCCAAACCCCATCCCATCCATAGACCCATAAAGAAGAGCAGTGAATATCTGGATTGGAAGTCGTTGAGATTTCAAGCACCCTCTCCTCTCCTCCTGACATGCTTCAGGAGTTACTGTCCCCTCCTCAGTCCCAGCACTTCTCCTTTTCCTCTGAGCCAAGCCCAAGGCAGAATCTACTCCTGGCCCTGGTCAGATGGGAAAGGCACTGATTACATGCCAGGCCGTGAACCTCTCTCCCATCCATCTATGTACCTTTCAGGGCCATGTCCTTCTATGTCCTGCTGGGTCACCACTGGGCCTAAGTGCCCCGGCCTGAGCCCCTACTTAGCCCTGGGAGCCGGTGGGTCGATTAGAGCTGGGGGACATGGCAGGGCAAGGGGACTTGGGCACAAAGGTGGCCATGGGTACTGGAGGCCAGGAGCCTGGATCCTCAGCCTGGTCCCTATACAGGCCTACCAGGCAGTTTTCAGGACGAGGAAGGCAGCAGTGCAGAGCCCCTCCTATCTTTAAAATGGAGTCAAGGGGCTCCTGGGTGGCTCAGTCGGTTAAGCGTCTGCCTTCGGCTCAGGTCATGATCCTAGGGTCTGGGATCGAGTCCCATGTCGGGCTCCTTGCTCAGCGGGGAGTCTGCTTCTCCCTCTGCCTGCCTCTCCCTCTGCTTGTGCTCTCTCTCTGACAAATAAATAAATAAAATCTTAAAGAAAAAAAAGGAAATAAAATGGAGTCAAAAGTGTCTGTCACTTGGCAGGGCTACGGTGAGGTACAGAACATGTACTTGAAACCAAAAAGTGCCATTCAACCATCATCGTTCTCTAAACCTCAGTTTTCCTAGATGTAAAATGGATAGAATTTTATTTATGTCCTTCCCAGGACTCTGGTGAGCCCATCACAAGGTAACGTGTGGGAAAGTGCTGCATTCAGGAACTAGCGCTGGGTGCGGCTTTGGGCTCTCTGGGCCAGTCCCCTGGGCCAGGCAGACACGGCTGCTTGCCGGGCGCTCCCGGGCTGTTTGCCCCGCTGCCAGTCTGGGGCAGAAACCCTACTGCATCTGCTTCCAGAGTGGGCCAACTGCTTCCTCGGAGGACGGCAGCATGCGCTTGCCCTGCTGACCACCTCCATCCACCCTCGTCTGCCCCGCTCGCCCTGAGGTCAGGCAGGTGGCTGGGCAAGCTGGGCCCTTCCCTCAGGGCCGATGGACCCGTTAGGCCCAGTACCTCGGGCACAGGATACTTTTAGGGGCCCGCAAAATACTTTTCATTTCTTTTAAAATCAGAAGTAAGAGATGAATTTCTAGGTTGGAAAAAAAAATTCTTTTTTTTTTTAAAGATTTTATTTATTTATTTGAGAGAGAGAATGAGAGAGAGCAAGCACATGAGAGGGGGGAGGGTCAGAGGGAGAAGCAGACTCCCTGCCGAGCAGGGAGCCCGATGCGGGACTCGATCCCAGGACTCCCAGGACTCCGGGATCATGACCTGAGCCGAAGGCAGTTGCTTAACCAACTGAGCCACCCAGGCGCCCTGGAAAAAAAAGTTTTAGTAAGTAATGTGAATATGTTTGTCTTCATCCCCATGTGGTCATCAAATACATTTTTATTTTATTTGAAGGACGAGGGCCTACGAAGACCTGGGTGCCCGGGGGCCCACAGAAGTCCTAACACCGCCCCGAGTCCATGGTATCTATTCTGCTCCGCACTCAAGCCGCTTCCTGGAGCCCCTCCCCCATTGGGAATGTGCCAGCTAGCCTCAGTTCACTTAGGATGGCAAATCCCAGTACGGCCTTCCCTTGCTATGCGAAAGTAGAGCGTTCCTATGTTCCTATGAGACCTTGCAGAGGCTTGCACGCCATAAAGTGAAGAAGCAATTGCCATTAATTTATATGGAAAAGTTCTGAGCCTTCCCAGACCCCCAAAATAATGTCTCTTAAGCTTTTCAGGTGCCTTAGGACACATCTTGTGGAGGGATGGGTGAAATTGGTGGGGCTAAGGCACAGATGCTCCCAGACACAGCTCAGAGCTCTGGCGGTTGATGCTGAGTTGCTGCCTGTGGTTCCCGGGGAAGGAGCCCGGCGGCTCCGCGCTCCCTGCTCCCTGCCCGGGGCACCCCTGCCTCTCTACTGACTCTCCGTAGGGCTCTTCGCGCTTATCCTTGAGCTAGTCCCTGGAGTAAGGGATGGCGGCCTTAAATACCTTTTCTCCCACTCCCCAAAGAGGGTATGGCCCCTGTCCCCCCGCCGGTAAGAAGAGGCGCTCCCTGAGGCCAGAATTCTGAAAATGTTGGTGTATATATAGGGGTGTCCTCTTTCCGTGTATAGCTTGAGAGGTCCCCAGGCAATTCGGATACTGACTGCCGGGCTCGGAAGCCTCCCTGAGAGCATCTCGCTCGCCTCCCCCCACCTTGAGAACCTCTGGCGTGGTGGAGATCCCAGGGGACCGTTGGCACACGTTACAACGGATCCTTTTACATAACAGCGCCGAACTTTGCAGCACGGCTTTTTCGGCCCACCCCACCCAAATCCCTTGATTTCATCACGCGCCTCCATTCCCCTGACGCCGAGGCGAGCGCGCCGGCGGCCCGTGCGGTCCCAGCGGGCAGCTTCTGTTGGCCGCTGCCCCGGTGCCTCCCGGGGGCCTGGCCCTGCAGCGGGCGGCGGCGAGAGGCCGCCCAGGACACGCTCGCCTTCTGGGCTAGGGGAAGGGCCACCTGGCGCTCGCATTGACCAGCCCTGGGCTTTGGGTCAGTCAGGTCATCTCTCTGACCCTTAGCTTTGTCCTCTGCAAAATGGGGATCAAAGATACCCACCTACTTCGTCCAACCCCCTGCGACACCGCACGGAGGGCCCTGAGCCCCTGGGAGCTGCGGGGAAGACAGACCGTTAATATTAAGGCATAGCCGGGCACCTGGGTGGCTCAGTCGTTAAGCGTCTGCCTTGGGCTCAGGTCATGATCCCAGAGTCCTGGGATCGAGTCCCACATCGGGCTCCCTGCTCGGTGAGAGACCTGCTTCTCCCTCTCCCACTCCCCCTGCTTGTGCTCCCTCTCTCGCTGTGTCTCTCTCTGTCAAAAAAAAAAAAAAAAAAATTAAGGCATAGCCACTTTTCCCCCCTCTCAGTTTCTTCTTTTCCTGCTCTTTACCTTGGCACATAAAAGGCCCTTATCAGTCCTGTGTGTGTGTGTGTGTGTGTGTGCGCGCACGCATGCGTCCTAGCTTATTCATCCGAAATTGTCTTCCCCTCCCTCCCTCCTACACACCCCAGGATAAATGGAACCTACCCTCAGGAGGACAGATAACACACATCCGCAGAGAGGGTGGTGAAATGCAGGCTTGAAACATTATTTGGATGATGTGTTTCATAGTTTCAATAACTTAGAAGCTTCTGGAATCAGGACTAAATCACCCAGAAAAAGCTCCTCTCCCTTTCTGTGAACAGTGTTTGGTAAGATTTCCCCACCCTCTCTCCCATCTCCAAAATGCCTTTTGCTCTGATCTCCACGTTCTGCTTCTACACCTTTGCATGTTTGTAAACTGCATTTTTGTAGAAACTTTGGTTTGACAAATGCCTCAATTGTTTCATTAAAATGTTATCTCGCTCTACCAATCTGTGCACTTCTGGCTGTCCCTGCACAGTTTCATGTGACTCAGTAACAGGCAGTGACCAATCTCAGCACGCCCTCGCCAGGCTCCTGGGCTGGGCCGGCCGCCGTCCTGACCAGGCCAGGGACTCAGGAAGGGGGATGGACACTCTTGTCGCCACCCCAAAGAGCTGAAAGACTGGCAAGTTCTAGTCAGAGAGAACCCCTGAGGGGGATCTGTTACCAGGAGGCAGTGGCCCCAGTGTCTTGCCATGGGAGGGATTGTGCAAAACAAGGGACATGTCATCACAGGAAAATAAATCACTGGGCCCCTTTGGGCCCCTTTGATGAAAGACTGGTTTGACCCACTGGGATTGGACAGCCACTTGCTGCTGACTTTTAGAAGCTTCTGGGCCCAAGTCTCTGTCTTTCTAAAGTAAGTCCTTGCCAAATGTTCCAGCGATATTTCTAAGGAAGGGGTAGGTTTGGGGGGTGGGGTGGTTAAGCACGCAGCAAACCACATCTTTAGCGCAAAAGCTATTTTCTGCAGGACCGGCCCGATCCCATGCCTTCGGCTAGGCCACGGTTGCCAGCTTGGGGAGGTGGGGGGCCCAAGTGTCTTCCACCCACGTTCTCTGGACCACTCCTTCACAGCCTTCCCCAGGCCCCAGACCATGCCCCTGCTCTCCAAGACGGCCAGACCGTGGGAAATCTCATTAGCTCCTTGCCTGGCCAGGGGCTCCTTGGAGGTCTCTGCCAGCACACTGGTGGAGACGACAGAAGACTCTGGGAAAGATTTCCTTTGCCGAACACACAGACAACACGGATCTGGGGCGTTTTTGGTTTTTGGTGTTTATTTTTTAAACCCACTTGTAGTCTGGGTTCAGCTGGAAAGCAGGACATACTGAGGGAGGGAACGTGGTCGCGTGAGGAGGATTCTGCTGTGGCTGTGGCGGGAAGGCCCAGGCCCCTTCTCCAGGGAGGCAGGTCCCGTCGCCAGGCTCCCAGCTGGCTCAGGCGAGGTGGGCAGCCCTTGTCGCCAGCGTCCCGACCAGAGGAGCGGTCTCCTCTGCGATCTGCATCCTCAGAGGCCCGGGCAGAGGGCCCCACAGGGCGCCAGCAGCTGAGGCACAGGACTCCGTGGGCAGGTCCTGAGAGTCTGTCACACGAGGAACACTGGCCGGGTTCTGATGCCAGAGACTGGAACGTGGCGTCTGGGGCGGCCCCATGGGGCTGCTCCTCGCGGTGGCCTGGCTGGCGGGGTCCCCGCCCCTGCAGCTGCCCAGGGCGTGATCAGTGGTACATTTCCCACACAACCCCCCCATCCCTCAGAGAAAATAAAATAAAAATTAGAATAAATACCGACTCGGCCAACATTTACATTTACATGGATGGACAGGGCGATCCCTAAACCTCGAAGGTTTACAGACTGATCGAGGAAGGACGAACAGACGAAACTGGGCTGGGGGTGCATGTTCCCCACGGAGGATGGTGGGGTTCCCACCTTCTCCGGGGGAGGTCAGGAGCCTTCTTGGGGCTGCAGTCCCAGCGCTCAGGCAAACCCAAGAGGCCAAGGGGAGCAGGGCTGTGGTGAGCGGGCTGGCCGCCTGAGAGGAAAGCAAGGACTATCTGGTCTTGACTGGGAGGGGGCACAGACCGAGACAGGATCAACATCAGAGGGCCGGACTTCGCCTCTTCACTGCGCCAAGAAAGCCGCGGGGTGAGTAGGGAAAACAACGCAAGCCTTAGAAATGCAATATCCAGTTTTGCCTCCCATCAGATACATTCAGAGGTCAACTTGGATATGGCCTTTCTCACTCAGCAGAAGGGGGGTCTGGCCTGGGGAGGGACTAGGGGTCTGAGGGGCGCCCACTTCTGCTCCCTGGTTCCTGTCTCCCTTGGGAGGCAGCCTCAGAGTCACAGATTTTAATGCTTTACTGTTTTTTACTGTTATTTCCTTAAAAAAAAATTTTTTTTTTTAATGTTTTCCTTCCATGTCTCAAAGAGTAGCAGCAACCTGCATTTAGAAAAACAGCTTACATTGTTATTTGGATTGGCCAGGAAGCACTTTCAAGCAATGGGATAAACTAGGCAAACCATATGTCTGGAACCACCGTGACACGACACGTAATTAAAAATATATTTATATATGTATACATATTTATATCTTACTTCTTCATACTCTGGTCCTAACAGTCGAGGAGGGGTGGCCCTGAGGCAAAACCACCAAGGAGGCCGTTAGGAGGAAGGGGCATTAGGAGGAAGGGGCATGAGGCCCATGGCGCCCACCATACCACCGGCCTCGGCTTTGCAGGGAACATCAGCCCCTGCGTGCTCGCTCTCTGCTTCATGGAACGGGCAGGAGGCCCTGTTCCCCTGGGTCATTCCCTTCCTCTGGGGCCCTGCTTTGTTCTCAGCAGACGTGCTCACACGCGCGCGCACACACACACACACGCGCACATACACACACATGCACGCACGCCTCGCACTCGCACTCACACTCAAGGGGAGCTAGGCCCATTTCAGCCCAGACGCAGCTCTCTGAGGGCTGCCTGGGGGCGGCTCCGTGCCTGGCGGAGGCGGCTTGACTCCTCCAGACCACGAGGTCCCCGGTGCCCCCTCTGAGCCCTCCAACCTCAGTCCAGCTCTTCCCTCGGGGCCTCCCGTGGGGTCCCTGGTGTCCCTGGGCCCCAGGCTGGGCTGAAGGTGCCTGCTGAAGAGGAAAGGCAGTGAGGAGAAGCTCAAGGAGGGGAGGAGGCGAAGGCCACGGGCCGAGGCTACAGACCCAGTCCAGGTAAACCTGTGTCCCCCACACATGTCTCCAATACGCTCTGCCTTGGGACCAGCATAGGCTCCTATCCCGGGGCTGGAAGGTGGGTGGCAGCTGGTGGGGAAAGCCAGGGAGTACTGGGGGACCCGCTCCCCCCGCCCCACCCTGCCTGCTCTCCCAGAAGCGGAGTCCACAGAGGAAAACCTCCAGCCCTCAACCCCTGGCCAGCCTGAGTGGACCAGGCAGCCAAGGCCCTCCAGTGACCCAGGGAACCCAGAAGCTGCTGGGCTCTGAGGTGGTTTAACGGGGGCTTATCAAAGTGCGGGCTCCAGACCCCAGAGCTGGGGCCGGGCAGATGCCTGTGACAACCCCAAAGCCAGCTTCCTAGAGCCTGACTTGCATTCTCCTCCAACAGAGAAGGGGCTCTCCCCAGGACCTGGCCCTTCCAAGAAACCCCAGTCTCGCTCCTTCCAGGCCTGGAAAGATGCGTCGGCCCCGCCTGCTCATTTCACTGTTCTACTCACGACTCAGTGAATGCACCGCCCCCCCCCAGCCCCGGGGTCCGCAGTGCCCAGAGCCCTCCTGGAGCGTACAGACCTTGGCTGTGGGGGGCCTCGGCTTCTGGATCCTGCCCGCGATGAGGCTGGGCCATCGACACAGCCCATTTAGCTAAGCTCCAAGTCCCGGGGAGCCAGGCAGCCCCCAACGGCCACTTTCCCCCCACTAAGCTCGGGAGGAGACCTGTGTGTGGCTCAGGCGACATCACCTAGCCTTTTGGTTTGAATTTGCCCGTCTTGACTGTGCCCCATTCACCACAGCCGCCCCGCCCCCCCAGCCCCAGCCAGGATGGGGTTTAACACACTCCTGGCGCCTGCCACAGCATCAGCCCTTTGACAGAGCAGAGCAGGAAGAAGAGAACAGAGGTCCTGGAAGCCAAGGGCTGCGGAGCACAGGGTTCCAGGGGGACCCCCCTCCGGGGCAGAAGTTTCCAATTACCCTAATTGGCCACTGGCAAGCTATCTGTGGCTAGAATCCTTCCAGAGGGGGCCGGGTTTGATCTTCCACTAATCAGGGGGTCCTCAGTGGTGCTGACTGTGTGATCACAGCTCGGACTCTTTTCATGGAGAGAGGAGACTTCAAAGCAGCTGACTTTTGAAAATAAAACAATAAAACACAAGAGCACGAGCAGAGCCACACACCCCAGCTCCCCTCCCTGCACCCCGCCCCTGGGCCTGAGGCTGGGGGGCCACACGGAGGAGGAACGGGGAGTGGGGAGGGTGCAGCGTGCAGGTTAGAGGAGAAGCCTCCGTCCCCCAGGCCGAGCGTGGCGGACAAAGGCCGTCAATTACGGGCGGCTGGTGGGGACCGTGCCTGCTTTTGTCCTCCCGGACATCTGCTCTACGTCGCCTGCTGCCAGTTGGCGACCGCGGCTGACAGCAGGAACAATGCAAGCCCGTCTCCGACCCACTTTTTCAGCCTTCTGAGGTCCTTTCTGACCCAAGCGGTACCCCGGCGTGCCGAGCTGCCAGGGCCTCGGAGGAGTCACGCCGATGAAACCCCTCGCACAAAGCCCTGCGGGGACGCGGTTGATGGGAGGGGGCGGGGAGGAGCGGGAGTGGGGAGGGGACGACGGGGGCGGCGGGGGGGGGGGCACCATGAGAAAGAAACATGCTTCCCTTATTGGTGTGAGCTGCCGCATGCGTGGGGCTGGGGGGGCTCAGATGAGGGGCGCTCCTCCTTCCCGGTCTGGCTCCAGCCTGGCCCCCAGCTCTGCCTGCTTTCCTCCCCACTTCTTTCTCCCGCCAGGGCCACCCCTGTCCTCCCGCCTGTCCATCTGGCCCTGGGTACCAGGGCCCCAGCTGCCCGCGGGCTGCCCGCCAGGCCCCCTGGCCATCAGGCTGTCAGTTTCTGGATGGTTCTGTTGTAGTACTGTGTGATGGGGGGCGTCAGAGGGTTCCAGCTGTTGGCATGGAGCTCTATGACCTCCAGAAGCAGTGACCGGGTCAGCATCGACTCTGAGGGGCAGAGCATCTTGTCGCGCGCACTGGCCAGGAGCTCGGTCATCATCTCGGGCAGCTGCTCCTCCAGCAGCCGGCCTGTGCTCTGCAGCTGCGGGTGGGGAAGCGGGGCTTAGGACAGGACCTGCGCCCCCGGAATGGCCCCCTGAGCCACCCTGGTTAGGAGGGCCGGGGGCAGGGACAGGAAAGAACTGGATTATCTCTGGAAGGTGCAGGCCAGGCATCTGTGCCCCAGGGAGGACAGGAGGTGGAAGGAGTCAACTGTGAAAGCCCACGTTGACCGACCAATCTGCCGCAGGAATAAGAGGGATTGGGTTATTGCCTGCTCCCTGGGGCTGAAAAGAGCCCTCACTGGGACCATGCCACTTCTGTCTTTCACCCAAGAAAGACTCACCCTCCTACTGGAAGCCTTGCCTGACCCCTGCCCAGACCCTCAAGGGCTGACCTGTTCCCCTCAAAGGTGATCAGGCTGCACCGTGTTAATTTCCACTTGCTAGGATGTCTCTCTAGAAACGAGCTTGGTCATTATCACCTGCACGTCTCCGCATGGAACCTGAGAGCAGGGATGAGGTCTCCTATTTCTCTCCTGCCCCTAATCCCACCTCCCCACCCCAGCTGACCTCTGCCCACACTTGTGACATGAAGTGCGGGAGGGAAATATGAACCGGGGCAGAAGGTCAGCCAGAGGGCCCGCCCTCAGGAGAGGCCCCCGATGATGCTGAACAGCCGCTGTAGGGAGGAAGGGGTCCCAGTGGTCTGGATCATGCAGCCTCAGGCAGTAGCCCCTGCGGGTCCTCTCCACAGTATCTCGATCTCCATCTCTGTCCCCACCCCATCTCATCCCACCCATTTTTCAAGGCTCTGCCTTCTTCATAAAGTCCTCATCGACCTCCCTGGACCACCCTGATCTCTCTCCTCTGACTCCTCAGGGATGCATGCTCTGTACCCATACTTCTTCTCTACACGGTGTTATCATCCCCAGCCAGAGTGACAGCTGAGGGCAAGGACTAGGCTTTCTTCTGCCCTATGTCCCTGTCACCAAGTCCCATGTATGGTACCCAGATGGAGCCCCATAAATGAAGGGACCATCCCATAGACCTGAGGCTGTTGTCCCGGCTCGCAGCACCTCTGGCCCCCGAGAGCCTTGGGAGTGGCCTGGAGGCCGGGCAGAAGGCACCTGAGAGGTGTGCTCACACAGCCCGGACAGGCCCTGGGTGCTCACGCAGGAGACACCTGTCCTCACAGCCACTCTATTCTAAATGACTGCGCTGGTTTCCCAGAGCAAGGTTTGCCCCTGAGGAAGATCCCAGAGAAAGAGTTTCAATGAGTAGTGGCCCCACTTTGGGACCAGGAGTGGCGCCTCCTAAGTGGGTGTTTTGTAGCAGAGGGGTCCAACGTGGGACCTCAGGCCTCAGGCATCTTCCCCAAACTCTGCACCACCATAGCCAAGGGAAATATTTGGGGGTGGGGGTCACCTGGAATCTCTTAAGTCATTTATGTGGTGTGCCTAGTACAAGGAGAAGGTGGTCTTGGGGACAGAAGGACAGTGCACAATGCCAGCACTTGGTCCTTCTCTCTAGAGAACCAGCCATCTCTTCCTCTAGCTAGTGGTGGGCTGGTTACCCCATCCACATTTACTCTGGTTTGGGGTTGATAATTCTGGATCCACGTTGGCTCAGGAAGCCATTCCCCACCAGCCCCGTCTACACACCCTTGCCTGGGACTTGTGGGTATGTCCGGTGATCCTTCACCGCCCACAACTGTTAGGCGTGAGGGGCACACCAGGTCTGAGGTCAGAGATGCTTACCTCCATCGAGCAGCACAGGACGGCATCTTCTTTCACATCCTGAGATTGCAAAAGCTGTAGAAAAGAGAGGCAGAGAACACTCCTGAGGGGGCGGCACGCGAGCTCCCAGGCCCCTGCCGCTGGACCCCAGCCCTAGCCCTGATGCAGCCTGGAACAGACATGTCGGAGGGGAGGGCTGGGGAGAGAGCCCACAAAGGTCCGAGGACAGGAGGAACACAGCGATTTCTCTGGCAGGATTTGAGCAGCTGGAGGACCACAGTGGTCATAGAGCCCGGGTGCGCCGGCCAGGTCAGAAGGCTCAGCCATGGTCTCAGGAGCTCCTGGGCCCTGGCTAGAGGAGAACTTCCAGAAATCATGGTGCTCTTCTGCAAAACCATGGCTGTGCTGACTTACCCAGAGGCTGGAACTGCTTCCTGACCAAGGCCGTGGCCAGGCTGCTTGGTGCTGGGACTGGCCATGCCCCCATCCAGGCTTCCCTCTGCCTCATCTCATTCCTTCTCTCTCTCAACTGAGATATAATTCACACAACATCCAATTCCCCATTTTTAAGTACACAACTCAGTGACTTTCAATATATTCACAAGGTTGCGCAACCATTAGCGTTACCTAACTCCAGAGCATTTTCATCCCCCCCAGCCCCTGGCAACCCTTAATCTCCTTTGTCTCTCTGGATTTGTCTGTTCTGGATTTTTCACATAAATGGCATCACACAGCATGTGTCTTTTGTGACTGGCTTCTTCCATTAACAGAACTTTTTAAAAGATCACCCATGTGGTAGCATGTACCAGTCCTTTGTTCCCTTTTATGGCTGAGTAATATTCTGCTATATGGAGAGACCACATTCTGTTTACACATTCATTAGCTGATAGACATATGGGCTGTTTCCCCCTTTTTGGCTATCATGAATGATGCTGCTCTGATCGTGTACAGGTTTCTGTGTGAGCGCATGTACTCAGGTCTCTGGGGGTCCTTACCTCGGAGCGGAATTGCTTGGTCATGTTGAGCTTTCTGGGGTCCAGCAAACTACAGTGGTTGTGCTATTCTGCATTTTCTCTAGCAATGTCTGAGGGTTCTGATTTTTCTACATCCTCACCAATATTTGCTATTTTCTGCTTTTTCATAAAATGTCTGTTTTTCCTAATTCCCAGTAGAAACTTTGAGGCACAGCTTCAGAGAAGCTCTACAGTCTTTTTTTTTTTTAAGATTTTATTTATCTGAGACAGAGAATGGGAGACAGAGAGCATGAGAGGGGGAGAGTCAGAGGGAGAAGCAGACTCCCCGCCAAGCAGGGAGCCCGATGCGGGACTCGATCCTGGGACTCCAGATTCATGACCTGAGCCGAAGGCAGTTGCTTAACCAACTGAGCCACCTAGGTGCCCCAGGAGCTCTACAGTCTTGTTCTTCACAAACCCCATTGACCACCTCTCCCTCTGTCCCCTTGACTGGCCGGAGCTGCTTTTCCCAAACCTTTACGTACGTGTCCACTGCCATCCCCCGCCACACTGACCATCACATCCCTAGGAGGACCCTGCATTTGGATTATCTGCCACGGATGACTCTTCCCTCTGCTGGAACTCTCCATACTTGCCCACCCTTCAAGGCCCACAGCTTTCCTTGGAGACCTCTGGATCACCCCAGGCCCTGGTGACCCCTCCTGCTTCTCACTCCCCAGCTTTCCCACCCACTCAGCATTCCACACGAGTGAAAAGGCATTTTCCAGTGGGAACTGCTTGCTTTCTGAAGGCTGGGACAGTGCTGTGTTCCTATTTGCCACTTTAACACCTAGCCTGGCCCCTGACAACAGTAGGGAGTCACTCAATGTTGGTCGATATGATTCATGCATTTTTGTTGTTGTTGTTTGTTAGTTTTAAAGGAAGGGTGGAGGGTGAGGAGAGCACAAGAGGAAGGCACTTTTAGGGTGAGTGTCCTCGTTCCCTGAACGAGAACTGGAGTCAAGGTTTTTGACGCGGGTGTGACGTGTCCAAGCAGAGGTGAAATCACAGGGGGACTATTCCTGCTGCCAGCTTGAAATCCGAATTGTGCACATCCTCACCTCTCCCCTTCTCCTGTCATGTTGCATCCATCCACCCAGCCCGGGGGCCCTCCCAGCAAGAGCCAGAAGCATTCACCTCAGGAGGGCTGAAGATTCAGGGCGAGCTTTGCTATGTGCCCGAGGGGCGTGTGGGGCATCGAGAGGCCACAAGAGGTCAGGGGACAGACAGGTCAGTCCTGGCTGCACTGGCCAGAGATGCTACCAGGGCCCAGGCCTCCTTCCCTGCCCTGCCCTCTCCCTGTATCTGTCAGAACTGGGCTGGCTAGCCACATAGAAGCCATTTTGGTATGAAGGAACAGAGGTAGTCCTTGACCTGCTCAAATGAAAAGCAGGCGGAGAGCAAGGGACAAGCCAGGGGAGGGAAATGGTGCCACCAACACAAAGTGACAGGCCTCGAGGCCACTGGAGTGCACGTTCTACTTACTGACATGGGCCTGAAGCCCAGCCTTTGTGCTCTCGTCACTGGCCTCTTCAGCCACCACAGGCTCGGACCTTACTCGCTCGCTCTACTCAGGGCTCTGCCCAAATGTCACCGTACCAGCCAGGCTCCCCCACCGGCCTCTGTGACACCCACCAGCCCCGCTCACCTCCTGGCTTACTTCTTGCTGTCGCATAGCTCGCCCCTGACACATTATCTACTTGCTCGTCTGCTGTCTGTCCCCGACCCGGGAGAAGGCAAGCTCCACCAGGGCAGGGCCTGTTTTGTCCCACTTCGAGGAATGTGTCCTACACATGGACCCAGACATGCCCCATGACACGGATACAAGGTTTTTGCTGCACAATCGTTACAGTAAGAGCAGCAAGGGGACTGGTTAGAGAATTACAATACGTAGGCATAGAGAGCACCCTGCAACACGCTGCTGTCCCTCGCCTGCTACACCCGGACCTGCTTCTGGAGTTTTCTTGTCTCCCGGAGCTGCAGACCCCCAAGGGGAGCCAGGGGACCCTCCCACCAAGCCAGTGCCTGGTGGGCCTCTGGGAGGCACATGGGGAAGGGCGTCCCTCATTTAGAGGACCCAAGAAGCTAGAGTGAAGACCAGGAACCAGGTTCTGGAGAAAGCTGGGGGAGGCGATTCACCTTGCAACGGGCCTACCTACGGCATGTGGTCCCCACCCAACCCAGCCTGCTCGGGGAGGGGCTGGGGCACAGACTGGGAGGGGCCCCTGGCCATCTAGGATGGGGTCAGCGTGGGAAAGTGAGCCTAGCCCTGTTCACTCTGCAGGGGAGATCGGGACTCATCTAGAGTAGGAGAACCCTGTAAGGTTTGCTGGAATTTCTTTCTGAACATAACTGTTCCCTAATAGGTTTTCTGTAGCACTTACTGGGAAAAAAAAAAAAAGCCTTAAAAACTGCTAGTGTAAATGACAAGAGGTGCGCCTGGGTGGCTCAGGTGTTAAGCATCTGCCTTCGGCTCAGGTCATGGTCCCAGGGTCCTGGGATCGAGCCCCACATCGGGCTCCCTGCTCGGTGGGGAGCCTGCTTCTCCCTCTCCCACTCCCCTTGCTTGTGTTCCCTCCCTCGCTGTCTCTGTCAAATAAATAAATAAAATCTTAAAAAAAAAAAAAAAGAAATGACAAGGAAGGGGGGAATCTGGAAGAAAGGGAACTCTTGAAAGGGAACTCTTAGAGATGGAGTACGTACTAGCAGTTGGGTGGGGAGGGGGGACCAGGCCGAGCTGGCAGCTCGTGGGAAGAACAGGGTCCACTCTGGATGCATCTAGCACATCGGCTGACACACAGTAGGTGCTCAAGGGGGCTTGTCGTGGTAAGTTGAAATGCCCCTCGGATCATGTTCTGTCCTGAGATTAGCTTCTTAGGGGCTCTCGGGACAAGGGAGGTAACCTTATGGTAATACTGGTAGGAGTCAGGGCCTGACAAGTACTAGATGTTCTGAAAGGTGATGGTTTCTCCCTCCAAGCAGCCCCCTGAGCTGCTGACAGCACAGTGTGAAAAGCTTCCTTGAGCCTCCGTATTGTTGCCAGCCAAGCCCCCAGCTCTGGTGAGCAAGTGTCCTCTTCTTCCCATTCCCTCTAACCCCCCAAGCCTGGCCTGCCCTCTGCTTCCTGATGGAGGCTGGGAACTGCAGAGTGGGCTGTCTTTCTGCTCCTTCTCTTTCTTCCCCACATCCTTATGACTGGGCTACTTCCCTTCCAGTCCCTTCTCCTCTGTGTGCCCAAACTCCCAGGCCGCCTGGCTCTCTCCCTGGAGGCCCTGGCTCCTGGCCAGCCAGGCAGGGGACAGACACAGGGTGGGGTGCTCTGCAAGGCCAGGGTGGCTTGCCCAGGCGCTCAGGCAGAGCTGTGGGCGGGCTCCCAACCCCAGGCCTCCCCTCCAGCCTTATCTTCCACTTGGTTGTTTGGGAAAGTCTGTGCTAAGCCAACAATCACATCATGCGATAGGTCCTCTTGCAAATGGCTTGCTGGGTTTTCTCAGGGAAGCGGGGGAGGACTGGGGTGGGTCACTACACTTTTCGTTCAGAGTTGCTGGGTGCAGGGATGTGAAGGGAATCTGCCGGGAGGCCGCAGACCGCTCCCTGTTCCCCCTGCAAATGCTGTCCTGGACTCTCATGACCAGTGTTGGGGAGCAGCATCTCAGAGCCCTAGAGCTGAAGGGGCTTCGGAGAGTGTCCCCCTTAACTTCCCTGGACCCTAACTCCAGAGCATCTTCATCCCCCCCAGGCCCTGGCACCCCCTAATCTCCGAAAGTCACACCCTGCTGCTCTTTGTGGTGTAACAAGAGGCTGACCTCCACACCCAGGAGCCCCTGACACAACTCCACAGGGGCTCCCTCCCGAGACCCCTTTCACTGCCCCTCTTAGACGCTCCCACGCGTCTTGGCCATCAGCGGCTCTCCAAGAATCTGTCCCTACCTGTCGTTTGCAGGCAGTGTCCCAAGTGCGGGATCTTTCCACTCTTTTCCATCTTGGCCAGATTTACCTGTTCTGTGTTCCATTTCTTCAGCACTCTGCTTTTTCCCAAGGGACAGTTCGGGTTTCGATGAA